GGGCTGTGGAGAGAGGGGTGAGTGCCAGGCCCGTGCTGGCGGGAGGCAGGGGCTGTGGAGAGAGGGGTGAGTGCCAGGCCCGTGCTGGCGGGAGGAGCTGGCGTTGAGACGCCCCGGCCGGTGCTTGGTCACTTCAGCTCACACACTGTCATGCTTCCCTGTGGGCCTTTGGAGGCCCGAGACCATGCTCTCCTTGGTCTGAGAGTTCTCAGGGACACCCACAGGGTGGTGTGTGCCTGGCCAGGCGTTTGGCTGAGTAGGGACGGGGGTTGTCTGTAGCTACAGTCCTCAGCTCACTAAGACTCAATCAGCATCTCCTTAAGTCCTGAGAGCTCTGAGGCTCTTGGACCATGACCACCCCGTTGAGCCCGGGCAGGGCCTGGCACTGAGCAAACAGCATGGTTCTCGGTGAGGTTCTAGGGCTCCACAGAGCACAGAGTCAGGGTCCAGACTGACTGTCCTGGGAAGATAGCTCTAGAGGCAAGAGCGCCCCTGAAGGATGAGGCGCCCGTCCCGTGGGGGCAGAGCGCCCCGCTGTGCAGGTGCAGGGCTAGAGGTTTTGGTGGGTGTCTGCAGCACAGAGAGCCCACGCAGGGACCTCAGCCCGGAGGGGCCTGTGGGGCTGGGCAGCCCTGGCGTGTGGGCATTCAGGGCAGCCCAGCCTCCTCTGCCTTGCTTGTCAGCTCCGCTGACGTGAGGCTCCCTGCAGGGGCGAAGGATGGAAGCAGGTGGAGCCGGGGGAGCAGGCGCAGCTCCTGGCGCAGCTCCAGGAAGGGGAGTTCTGGGTGGAGGAGGAGGAGTTCCTCAGGGAGTTTGACGAGGTCACCATCAGCTACCCAGTCACGGAGGCTGGCCACCTGCAGAGTCTCTACACAGGTAGGGCCATGGGCCTCTGACGTGGAGAGACTGAACAGGTGGGTGGATCCCACGTGCTGACCCGTGCGGGGAGATGGGGCCCCAAGAGGGCCCCGAGCTGATGCCAGTGCTTTCCTACTAGAGAAGGTGCTTTGCCATGCACGGGCCCTGCCTGGGGCCTGGGTCGCAGGGCGGTCGGCCGGAGGCTGCCGGAACAACAGTTGCTTCCCCTGCAACCCCAAGTTCTGGCTGCGGCTGGCCGAGCCCAGCGAGGTGTGCGTGGCCGTCCTGCAGAAGCCCCGCGAGGCGAGCCTGGCTGTCCCACAGAGGCCCCGTGAGCCTGGGACCGGCCCAACCCGGGCCAGCCACGGCCAGGACTACCAGGCTGTGGGTCTGCACCTGTGGAAGGTAACTGCCCCAGGGCCCCGGGTGGCCCAGGAGGAGCACCCTCGCACACAGGTCCCCGCACCCCTCGGGCTGCCAGCCCCCGTCTCCCAGACCCTGCTCTCAGCTTCTCCACCTGACCCTGGGTGCCCCGCTGGCCCTGCCCCTGCGTCCTCCCTGGGTCTCTGGCCTGCAGTCCCCGTCCCCCGCCATGGTGATCCAGACGTACACTCAGCCTGACGTGCGCATCCGCCAGCCCATCAGTGTAGCGGGGCTAGAGCAAGCAGGTCAGGGAGCTACTGCTCGCTCTTGAAGGCTGGTCATCTGTGTGGTACCTGTGTGACAGACAGCTCTCACGTCCAATCCATGGCCTGTGTCACGGGCCTTCCTCTTGCAAAAGAAGTTGTTGGGAGTTTGTCCAGGTTTTTGGGAGCATGGCTCTGTGTAGATGCTGAGTGGGTGGGGACTCTGCCTGGTGAGCTGTGGGCCCCTGTCCACGCGGGGAAGCAGAGGATGGCCTCCCCCTGTGGTGTTGCAGGTGGAGCAGCGGCGGGTGAGTCTGCCCCGGGTCCTGTCTGCGCCCCCTGTGGCCGGGACGGCCTGCCACACCTACGACCGCGAGGTCCACCTGCGCTGCCAGCTCTCCCCCGGCTTCTACCTGGCGGTGCCCAGCACGTTCCTGAAGGACAGGGCAGGGCAGTTCCTGCTCCGGGTCTTCTCCACTGGGAAGGTTTCCCTCAGGTGAGGAGCCGGTGCCCGCGGCTCTCCTCGTGCTGGGGCTGCTGGGGCTGGGGCCTCCCTCCTCTACAAGGTCGTCTCTGCCTGTTTCCCTAGTGCTGTCAGGCCGGTGGCCAAGGGGGCCTCCCCCAGAACAGCGCAGCCTGCTGGCGAGTGGGAGACGGTGCAGCTGCGGGGGCTCTGGAGAGCCGGCCAGACGGCTGGGGGCAGCAGGAACTTTGCCTCCTACCCCTGCAACCCTTGCCTCCCGTTCTCCGTCCCCGAGGGTGCCGGGCCCCGCTGTGTCCGCATCACCCTGTGCCAGCACTGCCAGCTTGCTGACAGCCAGCTCTACCCCATTGGCTTCCACGTCTTCCAGGTTTGTGGCCTTCGCTCGCTGGGACTCCGGGCCTGGCCATCTGGCCGCCTGGTCTCATAAAAGACTTAACTGTAGCTCCCATGAAGTCCTTAGGCCCAGAGTGAGCCAAGGCAGCCCCTGGCCACCCACCTACCCTGGCTCAGAGCGGACCTTCCACTCTAGCCCCTGCAGCTGCTCTGGAGACCTGGGCGGAGGCCAGCCTCACCCCAGGGCGGGGGTGTGTGGCCCCAGAACGGGACCCCAGGGCGATCCTGGCAGACTGCTCAGCAGGGGAAGGAGGCAGCTGGGGGGGCCGCACCCAGGGAACATGCCAGAAGTATTGGCCACACAGCCACATCAGCAACATGACAAATTGCCTGCCAGCCATAAGCCACTGTGGTCAGAGAGCCTAGAGGATTCCACCAGGTGGGAGGAGCTCTGGGGTTCAGGGATCTACTGGACGGGCAGTGAAGGGTCAGAAGGCCACACCTGGGGTTCTGCCGGGTGTCCTGGGCCGCTAGGGTGGGGTTGGAGGCACGTGCACAGCACCCTGGGACTGGGGCGTCTGTGTCCCTTGGGAATGGTAGCCAGTGCTTCCAGAGAAGGAGGGAGACTTCTAGAACCTGTCCCCAGTCACCTGCCTCCGGCACCCGGAGCCCTGAGTAGAGTGCCAGAACTTGGGGCCCTATCAGAGCATGCCAAGGCAGAAGCCAGAGTATAAATACTCTATAAAACAGAACCTCCGGGCTTGGACACTGTGCAAGGATGGTTCCTCTGAAGCGCTGGACCTGGAGTCAGTCTGTCAGTTCCTCCTAGAAGAGGGGAGCACGTGACTCAGGAGGCGTGGGGGCATCAGGTTCCAGAAGTCCAAGCAGGCTGACCAGACAGCCCTCCGCTGGGCCTGGGCAGAGGGAATGCCTGCAGCACCCCGTGCAGACCCCCAGACTGACTCATCACCCCCCAGGTCCCCTCAGGCGCTGTGAGCCAGGACACACGCGCGCTGCTGCTCCAGGAGCCTTTGCTGAGCTGTGTGCCACACCGCTATGCGCAAGAGGTCAGCCGGCTCTGTCTCCTGTCTGCGGGCGCCTACAGAGTGGTGCCCTCCACCTATCTGCCAGACGCCGAGGGGGCCTTCACCGTCACCATAGCCATCCGGATAGACAGGTGGGGTCCAGGGTCTCCATGGGCGTGAGTGCTCGGCCTGCCCCAGTCGGCACCGGAGGTGGGCATGTGCTCCTGGGAGCTCCTGGGGGTTTGCCCAGAGCAGATCTCAGGGCTGGCCCGGCTCTCTCCACAGGCCATCCATTCACAGCCAGGAGATGCTGGGCCAGGCCCTCCAGGAGGTGTGTATGCAGCGTCCCTCGACATTTTCCTCCTGGCTCACCTGCCCGTGGCCAGCTGGTGGGGATCTTAATTCCTTCGGTGCTCCCCCCGCCAGCCATCCTGCTGCAGATGATCTCTGGGACATGGGGTGCCCTCTCATGAGAGCACAGGGCAGGGAGAGAGACTGGGTCTGTCTTGTTCCTTGGGGTTGGAGGGCCAAGGAAGGCTGGACATTGCCGCTCCTTTGCAGGTCTCCCTCGTGGCGGTGATGAAAACCTGACTGGCGTCCCTGTGTGTCGGCCGGCGGCACAGAGCCACGTTGGTGCCCGCAGCCTCGGCACTGGAGCCCCGGCCCTGGCGTCCGGCCGCGAGAGGGGCCGGCCGGGCCCAGCAGCGGCTGCAGGAAGGGCAAGGCCTCGGGTGGCATCTTTGTTCCAACCAGAGACTGTAAGACTCCCAGACCCCAGAGACGAGGCTGGAGAGTTCCCAGGACCCTCCCAGCTCGCCCTCCTTCCCGGTGGGAGCAGGTGTGGCAGACATCACTGGAAACATTTTTAGGATGTGGCTTTATAATAAAGGCGTGATGGAGATGGTCTGCAGGGTCCACCATTGAGTCGGCTTCTAGCGCGCAGGCGTGGGCCAGAGCCGTCGCCACCCAGCAGCATGATGGTGCTGCTCTGCCCTGGTGCTGCCGTTCCCGCCCCACACCACCACCGCCGTGTCCACACACCACCACCACCGCCGTGTCCACACACACCACCACCGCCGTGTCCACACACACCACCACCGCCGTGTCCACACACACCACCACCGTGTCCACACACACCACCACCGCCGTGTCCACACACCACCACCACCGTGTCCACACACACCACCATCGCCATGTCCACACACCACCACTGCCGTGTCCACCACACACCGCCACCTCCGTCTCTGCCCCACACCACCATCCCCATCCTCTCAACCCAGTGTTGCATGGCTTCTGATGGAGAAGGGCCGCCCTCCGGGCTCTGCTTTTCCGGGTTGGGACCTTGTGGCCCTGTGTGGTGGGGGTGTCACGAGCTGGACTACAGGACAGCCAGCAGACAGTGGCGAGTCCGAGTGCAGCCAAGGCCTCGGGACAGTGTGAGCCAGGCCTGCTGTGGAAACAATGCTCGCGGGTCTCCCTAAGCAGCCAGGCCGGCCCGAGCCTCCTGGAGCGCCGGGCAGAGGCCTCCTGGCTCCCGTCTGCAGCTCTGTGTGTCTCCACACAGCGCGCCCTCAGCACCCCGGGGCCGCCACACACCACGTGCCAGGCCCTCCGGCAACAGCAGAGCCAATGTGGCAATTAGACAAGAAGGATCAGGACCTTGAGCAAGTGTTGTGATTGGCTGGAAGGACCCTCACCTTGGGCAGATGTAGTGGCGGGGCCAGGCGGACCATGGCTTAGTCCAGGGCATGCTGTGTCTCCACCACGTGTGATAGAATGCCATCACTGTGGGCAGTGGGTGGCCCAGCTTTGGTGTGCAGATTCTGCAGGAAAATAGGCTGGAGCAAAATGTGGGGCGAGGAGTTTGCATGGAAGGCAGAAGTAAAACTGACGCGGCAGAAGTCTGCCGTGGGTGCGTGCCCAGCCCGCTGTCCTGCGGAGGACGTGGGACCCTCGAGGCCAGCCTGAGAATCCCTCAAGTGTCCCCAGGCCAGCCACGCTCCTCCAGGCCAGCAGGCCTCCTCTCCACTGCCCCTTCCCTCCCAGCACATCTCTTCAGACAGTAGCCCCGAGGAAGGCTGACGTGAACCCTAAGGAGAGACTCCGGGGCTAAAGGCTTCCAGGAAGGAACCTCGGTGGCCTCAGGCTGGCCTCTGGAGAGACAAGCAGTAGTTGGCTGCAGGCTCTCAGCGTCCATTTGAAAAGCAGCTGCTACATGGCATAAACAGGTCTGCTGTGCCATCCAGACCCCATCGGTCCCCAGCTCCAGCGCCATGCTCACCGGGGGCACAGCCGGCTCGCCGGCCACAGGCACCTGCTCAGTGTGAAGGAGATGCGGCGGGGAAGGGCTGAGAAGCGGGGATGCAGCTTACCCACCTCTAGAGGGCGCTGCGCCCCAGCCCCGCACCAAGCCCCGTCTCAGCAAGTCCAGCTCGCGAGCTCCTGGACCACATAAAAATAGAGCAAGCCCTTGAGACGCCGTGGCTCCTCCCAGGTGGGTGCACTTGTCCACACCTGCCCCGCCCCTGGGCCTCTGCGTACGCCGCATAATTTATGAACAAGACAGTTGTGGAGGCTCAAAGTCCAAGACCAAGGCCCAGGGGAGTTGGTGTCTGGGAAGTGCTTCCTGGTTCGCGTGGACTCTTCACGGTGGGTGAGGTCAGGGCGGGCTGACGTCTGCTTCCTGGCTCACCCGTGGACTCCTCGCCGAGTGCTCAGGGGTGGGATGCTGGAGAAGCCCCGTGGGGTTCTTTTTAGAGGGACGTTGGCCCCGCTCAGAGAGGCTCCACTCACTAACACTGGCTCTTTGGGGTTAGTGTTTCAAAATGTCCATCTTGGAGAACATCTTTGGGGTGACAGCGCCCCTGTGGTCTTGAAGTTCCACCTCCCATGTTCCTTCACAGCCCTCAGCCCGGCTGGACCACAGCTGCCCTAGCCAGGCCACAGGACCCCCTAGGAACTAGCATGGTTTTGCCTTCCTGTGGTAGCCCAGCAGTGTCCAAGATGAGGCCCAGCCCTGGGCTCGGGGGACCGCCTCCCTGGTGGCGGGAAGAGGTGGATGGTTCTGGTAGATCCAGGCAGGCAGGCTGGGCGTATGAGGGCAACACCTTCCCAGCCACCTGGGCAGACTTGGCCCGTTCCCTGGCCAGCTCTTCCTGCTCAGAGCCAGCGCCGCCTGTGAGGCCAGGCCAGCCCCGTCCTGGCTGCCCCGCCCTGCGCCTTCGTCCTGGGCCCTGCGCCTTCGTCCTGGGCACACAGAGCTTCGGGGTGAGTACTGAGAGCAGCGCAGGGGCCCGGCCGCAGAGACTCGTGGGCACAACGGGGGCAGCAGGGGCTGGCCAGGGCAGGGCTTCAGAGGAGCGCGCGCTCTCTGTCTCTCTCTCTCTCCCCTCCCCTCCCTTCTGTTTCTTCTGTCTTCCCCTACCCCTACCTCTCCACCACCTGCCTCTCTCTGCCCTCATAACCATGCTTTGCTAGGTATCCTATGTATGAGTAAGCTGGGTTTGTGACCAGCTTTGCGGCGCAGAGCTTTGCATTCTGCCCTCCATTGGGGGAGGGGCTTTTCTGGTTGGAAGGGACAGGAGCAGCCCACCGGCGTCCAGAGCTTCCCAGGGAACTCCCGTGGGGGCTGCGGGGCTCTGGCTGGTGGACAGCCCGGGGGGGGCCCTGGCCAGTCCTCTCTGGCCCCTGAGGAGTACAGGCAGTGTCCGCAGTGTCCACATAGTGTGGCCTTGGGTCTGCACCAGGATCACAGGGCGCACTGACTCGGGTGTGCGCGGCCTCTCCGGTCAGGGAGCCCAGGCTGCGGCAGGGGACACGCGCCCCTTTGCAGTGGGTGAGGAGGCCACCAGGCAGTGAAGGAGCCTCGGCTTGAGTGGACAAAGGCGCATAGGTTTGGAACAGGCCTAGTTCCCTGTGGGTCCCAGGGCCTGGCTGGTCGGGCAGGGCAATCCTGATATTGTGCCTGTGCTGCTGTCCAGGTGACCCAGGCTTGTCCTTCATCCTTCAGGCCCAGTGGGGACGCTGAGCAGGAGAGACACTTCTCACCACCTCCCGTGCTCCAGTCCCACAGGGCACACATGTTGGGTGGCAGGCACCCTGCCCAGCCCAGCACCGTGGATGTGGCCGAGACAGCCGGTGCGCCTGCCGTGGCCAGCACAGTCCACTGGAGAGGACCATCCGCACGCAGGTAAACCAGGTGGCAGTGGACAGTGATGCTGCAGATGGCCAGCAGGTCAGGCAGGCGCTGGGCATCCAGCAGGTGGACAGCAGAGGCTGTCCAGGCTTGTAGAGTGTTGGCGTGGAACTGGAGAACAGAAGTCTCCGGGTGTGCAAGGTTGGGTTGGGTGGGAGGGATGGAGGCAGAGGAGAGGCCAGCAAGGCCCAGGACGCAAAGGCAGCAGGATCGGTAGCGTCTGTGTGTGAACACGCCTATCACAGCTTCCGGTGCTTTCTCAAGCTCCCTCAGCCGTGGTTAGCGGGTTGGAGCACACACACTTGGCACTTGTCCCCAAATGTTTCTTCAGGTTTGCAAATGGTGTGGTTTAGTTTTTCCACTTACATTGTCGCTGGTTTGAGAAAATGCAGTTTCAGTATATTAATGCAGTATCCTATGTGGATTTTTCTTTTTTTCTTTTTTGTTGGGGGTCCGGTCGTGGGGCCTGAACTCTGGGCCTGGGCGCTGTCCCTCAGCTCTTCAGCTCAAGGCTAGCGCTTTACCACTTGAGCCACAGCACCACTTCTGGGTTTTTTCTTTTTGCTTATGTGGTGCTGAGGAATCCAACCCAGGGCCTCAGGCATGCAAGGCAAGCGCTCTACCACTGAGCCACCTTCCCAGCTCCCTATGTGGATTTTTCTAATATGTTTTTTAGTGTATGGATTCTTCTTTTGTTTTCTGACAAATTCTTTAATATTTTCCATTTGTAGAATTGTATAAGAGGTGACATTTAAAACTTAATGGATTTAATTTGCTAGTGTGTGTGTGTGTGTGTGTGCACGCACGCGTGTGCACGCGTGCATGTACAAATACCAATGCATGAGTTCAGGGAGCTCTCCCTGACAGCTAGACTGGTGCTCTATCACTTGAGCCACAGCTCCAATTTTGGCTTTTTGGTGGTTACTTGCGATGAGACTCTCACAGACTTTCTTGCCCAGGTTGGCTTTGAACTGCCATCCTCAGATCTCAGCCACCTGAATAGCTAGGATTATAGATGTGAGTCACTGCATACAGCTACACAGTACTTTTTCTCTTCCCTGTGCTGAGGTCAACCCAGTGTTAGTATGCCTGTCAGAGCTTCCTTATAATCTTCATTTTTTTTTTTTTTTTGTCGGTCGTGGGGCTTGAACTCTGGGACTGGGCGCTGTCCCTCAGCTCTTCAGCTCAAGGCGAGCGCTCTACCACTTGAGCTACAGCGCCACTTCGTGTTTTCTTGTGGTTTATTGGAGATAGGAGTCTCACGGTCTTTCCTGCCCGGGCTGGCTTTGAACCGCGATCCTCAGATCTCAGCCTCCTGAGTAGCTAGGATTACAGGCGTGAGCCACCAGCGCCCGGCTTCATTTTTTTTTTTTTTTTTGCCAATCCTGTGGCTTGAACTCAGGGCCTGGGCACGGTCCCCAAGCTTCTTTTGCTCAAGGCTAGCACTCTAGGTCTGTCTGGGAAGGTGGCTCAGTGGTAGAGTGCTTGCCTATCATGCATGAAGCCCTGGGTTTGATTCCTCAGTACCACCAAACAGAAAGAGCCAGAAGTGGCGCTGTGGCTCAAGTGATAGAATGCTAGCCTTGAGCAAAAGAAGCCCGGGGACAGTGACCATGCCCTGAGTTCAAGCCCCAGGATTGGGAAAAAGAAAATTAAAGAA